TATCCAACATCTCTGCAGGATTCGCTCGTGATGGTGAGTTGCATGCATGCAAGTTCAGTATTTCTGAGCTCATTCGCAGAAAGTGAATGAATTTGTTCAGAAAACACACGCATACAAAAGGGAAATACAGTCGAAGAAAGCGTTATGCAAGTATTCTCGGCCTCGATATTTCGGTGTTTCCTCAGGCGTCTCAACAAATGTCAACAGGGGCAGACCAGCAGCAGCAGCAGCAGCAGCAGCAGCAGCAGCAGCAGCAGCAGCAGTCATCTGAACAGAAAAAGGAGAAATCAGTTTCCAGTTCAACTTCTGAAGGCTCCTCTCTCAAGTCTCAAAAGATATTCAACATGATCGCTGCATTCCTAGAGCGTGCAGTCGACGAGAAATCTAAATTAAAGGAAAAGGTGAACAGCTGCTTTCACTTTGAAATATCACCCAAACAGGGGCAGCCTGCGGCTCTCAAGTGGACCATTGATCTTCGTGCAGATGGTGGTGAGTACGCCCGCGAGCTTCTCCTTCAACCCCCAGCCTTATATATATATATATATATATATATATGTGTCTCGGTGTGGTGCCTTTGGTGGTTACTGCAGAAGGAGGAGCTGTGGAGGGTCACCGGGCTTCTGCTGATGCAACATTTATGATGGCTGATGAGGTGTTTGCTTCGATTTGTTTGGGGAGGCTGAATCCACAGGTGGCGTTCTTGCAGGGGAAGATGAAGATCCGCGGGAGTATGAGTAAAGCAACAAAGTTTACTCCTGATCTCTTCCCTACAATATCTTCTGAACTTCTTTCTCTCAGTGCAACAGATGCTGTCGATAGATTCCTCGATGAGTTGAAACTCTCAACCCCTGAAACTGCTGCAAAAGACCAAGAACAATCCAAACACAAACTCAGTCAACAGGCCTCCAAGATGCAGAGCGCAAAACTTTTCCCTTTCTTGATGGATCATCTCAAGTCTCCAGCCGGCGCTAATCTCGTGAAACAGGTGCAGAGAATACACGTATTTCTATGTGCACGGCTGCATATATAGAAGTACAGATAGAGTGTATAGCATCGATCCAGTGAGCCGGTGAGGAGTATTCTCTTTGATGCTTTTTTATATTTTTAATTTATATAAAATTATATACACTGTGTGCGGCTGCTTTCATTCCACTTGCAGGTCGGGTGTATCTACCGCGTTGACTTGCTGCCGTGCAGCGGCGAGGGTTCCCCGTGTACATTTTATATAAATCTGAAGCAAATGCCGCCAACTGTTCGCGAGATGCCGAATACATCTACAGAGCCATTCGACTGCTGCTTCACTCTGAAAGACGATATCTTCTTTAAGCTTGCTACAGGAAAGCTAAACCCCCAAATGGCTTTCCTCCAGGGAAAAATGAAAATAAGAGGAAGCACCAAAGCCGCCATGAAATTCACACGCGATATGTTCCCCAAGATATCCAAACTGTAAAGTTTCTCGATATTAAACATATTTATTTGTATTTATATATATATATATATAT